GAGTGAGTAGGTATTTACTAGATAAAGCAGGGTTGAAAGTACCATGCACACAAAGACTGTGTGGGCAAACCCCTGTGGTAGGCAGAAGGGAGCAAGACTCATCAAGGGAGATCCTAGAGCAAGAAAAAGCCCAAAGAGACCATCTGCAGTGAGATGACACAGGGCTCTGTTGGCCACATGAAGGGATTGGGATTTCCCCCTAATAATGATACTTTCCCAGGAATGGGGCATGATTAGATTTGTTTCCTAAAACGGACTCAGTGGCCGTGTGGAGAGTGAGTTATATGAGTGTCTGGAGAAGCAATGAACTGAGTTAGGAGGGTATCCCCACTAGGAAGTTGGGGTATTTGTTCATGTATCCTTTCCTTTGTTCACTTATTCTTGAGGTTATTCTCCAATGACATATAAAGAACAAATCACACACTTATCTTTGTATTACACTACTATGCTATCAAGGGCTACAATCTAACATGTCATAAATCTGCTTTCAATTTACCCAACTATTTACTCATTCATCTGTCTACCCTTTTGTCCACATGTCAACGTAAAATGTATTTAGCACCTAGTATGTATAAGACACTGTTGTAGACATTGAAGATACAAAGATAAAGCATAAGCCCTACTCTATGCTTTCTTAATAGTCTATGTAAGACAGATAGGGAAACATTCTTAATATGACTAGATGAAGGCTAATAGATACATCTACATAAAGAAAGACTGATTAACTGGCATACAATGATTCATCTTACAGACCTGTCCTACCAATATAAAAGAATAAGGAGCGAAATTCTTTATTTGAAACAATAAATATAGTAGAGTTCCTGTTGCCATCTGTTTTCCACAGGCCACCTGCAGGCCTTGGTGGGAGGAGAGACTGAAAATTATAAATAAGAAATGAACATTTGCATATTTTAATGGAGAATTTGTAACTAATGACCTGTGGCTGTTCTTATACTGCAGTATATATTTTTAAAGGTTTTTTTTTTTTTTTGGATCAGAACAATAATACAGAACAATAATACAGTATTATGTGACTTTTAATATGTTTTATGTTACTAGACAGGAAGTGAAAATACACAGCTATCAGGTTCAAGAGTTCGTGGCTGACACAGGAATCATTAAAAAGGAACCATGGTACGGGTGCCTGGGTGGCTCAGTCGGTTACTCTTCCGACTTTGGCTCAGGTCATGATCTCGTGGTTTGTGAGTTTAAGCCCTGCGTTGGGCTCTGTGCTGACAGCTCAGACCCCGGAGCCTGCTTCAGATTCTCTGTTTCCCTCTCTCTCTGCCACCCCTCCCCTGCTTGTGCTTTGTCTCTCTCTCTTTCTCTCTCTCTCTCAAAATAAATAAACATTAAAAAAAATTAAAAAGAGAAAAAAGGAACCAGAGTACGTAGACGAAGAATCATGATCACCTGTTTTCTGTCTGGTCTTCCAAACTTCATAATGAACAGAGCTGGTTCTATTATGTTCTTTATTAAACTGTCCCTCTTCAGAAGAACAGGGTTTTCAGTGGGTTATTGTAACCTGGATATAACAACCCAGTGATAGCTATTTCTGTACTCCTCTCATTTTCTTCTTTCCTTTGTCTCCTGAAATAACTAATATGAAAGAATTTGTGGTACCCTACTTATTTCGAGTAAATATACAGAATGCATGGACAGATGATATCTCCTAAAACTACCTGGGGTTCCCCTCCTTAAGATAAAAGTCCCAATATAATCCACGGACTTGCGTTACTTAGCAGCCACTGAGAGCAATAAGGCAATAAGGGTGCCTTCTTGGGAGCCCTCAGCAGCTTCTAGATCATCACTGACAAAAATGACTTAGGTAATTGTAATTGCTAAAAGGAAAAAACCCATGAGTCGCTTCACTTTAAGGAGGATATCTTTAAATATACTTTAAGTTAGTCTTGGGTTTAAGAGCAGAATATAAACCCTTAATTTAGTAGGAAAAATATTTTTATGATTATGTGTGTAGCATGCCTTTACTCTCTGCAGACAAGCCAAGCATTTTTCTCCCTGATTTTTTTTCCCTATCTCTAGCTCATCTGCTATGGAGATAAAAGTGGCATTAATCGGGGCGCCTGGGTGGCGCAGTCGGTTAAGCGTCCGACTTCAGCCAGGTCACGATCTCGCGGTCCGTGAGTTCGAGCCCCGCGTCAGGCCCTGGGCTGATGGCTCGGAGCCTGGAGCCTGTTTCCGATTCTGTGTCTCCCTCTCTCTCTGCCCCTCCCCCGTTCATGCTCTGTCTCTCTCTGTCCCAAAAATAAATAAAAAACGTTGAAAAAAAATTAAAAAAAAAAAAAAGTGGCATTAATCAATTTCCGGGCATGTCTTATTTAAATCTAGATTACTCCCTGAAAAGAGGAGATGAAACGGCAACTACTTGTTCTGGTTTAGGTGGTAAACTACTTGATAATGCTAGAGGTTATAATTTCAAACTTATATATTGACAAATTCAGTAAATGTGATAGCCAGCTTTTAAAAATAATACCAGCTAAGAGTTGCTGACGCTTGAACTATGTTCCAAGTGATGCAATTAGTCCTTTATATGCACAATCTCATTTAGTTCTCTCAATATAATACCATGGTGTGGGTAATACAACCACTTTACAGACAAGGAAACCTAATCTCAGGTGGATTACAAGCCATAGCTTGTAAATGGCAGGATCCAAACTTAACAGTATATCTAACTTCGAAGTTGTAACTCTAAACTACTCAGCCATTTTCCCATACGTATTTTAGACTCCCCAGATTCCCTGTCACATTGATCTGCTGTATCCTTATTACTTATAATCATGATCTTTCATTCAACAGACAATTACTAAGTGTCAGTTATGTGCTACTCTGGAGGAAAAGCAAATTAAGTCTTGTACAACCCTCAAAGAGTCACACAAAATGGGAAAAAGTAGAGAGATGAGCACAATGTAATTTCAAAACCCACTAGCCCAGCAGTACCACCCACATTTCAGAAGACGCCTCTGATTGCTTATATATACAAACAGAAATGGCGCTCACAAAGTGACAGCAATGCCCTCTCCTTTGGGAGGCAGCATGGTGCTTAAAAGTGGCTAAAAGCCTTTAGAGTGAGGGTCTGGGTACAAATACTAATCCTGCCAATTGTAGCTCTATGGCCTTGGAAGTTCCCGTGCTACTGTTTCTCCAACTGTAAAGAAAGGAATAAAAGCAGCCCTTACTTTACAGGGGGCATTTTGAGGATTACTGTATCTATAGCTCAGAACAGCCCCTGGCGTGTAAGGGTAAGCCATTAATGATGTGACTGTTCGAACCTACCCATTTTCTGACTAGTATTGATGAGTTTTGATTTTTCTCCCCTCAATTACCACATAGTACTTGTGTCCTGTTTCTTTATTATTCTTGGTGGGGGAGGGCTATTCGTTTTCTGATGCTCTGGCCATTCCTACCTCGTCCTAGAAAATCTCACCCATTTCACCTTACATTTTCATTCAATTTAAGAAACACAGTCTTTTCCCTATGTTCTGCAGGATTACCATCCTTCTTGGCAGACGAAGGACGGCTGGCAGGCTGAACAGAAACTCTTTCGGAAGAAAGCATAAAGCCAGAAGGTTGGTTATATGAGGACATAAACTTTCTGGGCATATATGCTTAACTGCTTCCTCGTATCAGGCCATGCTAATGTACTTTTGCTTGTCGGTTCCTCACGTAGGTAACAGGGTTGATACCCATGGAGAGAAAGTGTCTCTCCTCTATTTTTCAACTTGCTATAGAAAATGTTGAATAACATGAGGCCCAAGGAAGATCCCTGTGTAATGGAACTTAAGAGGAAAATCAAAGTGGACGCAGACCATGACTTATGGATTTAGAAGAGCACCTGGCCCTTGCTCATTTTTAAATAATGCTATTACGAAGTGCAGTTTCTGTACCCGGGGAGACATCAGACTCAGCTGGTATGCCTGTTAGAAACACAGACTGGTCCTTGCTTTCCACCTCTCCCACCCCTCCATCTCACCTCCACCTCCAGTAACCTGATCCACTGAGTCGGAGGTAAGGACTTGGAACCTGTATTTTTCATAGCTTTGGGAATCAGTGTCTAAGATTATTTATACATGTATTTGTGAGACAAAGACTTAATCATTGAGAAGTAATAAAACTCTCGTTTTTATATATGGGCACTGAAAGTTAGCTTACTTGAAAAGAAGATCCGATTTCACTTAATAGCCTGCTTTCCTGAATTCTGATGAAATCAGACTGGGAGAAGGGGTTAAAAATAACCAGCCATTTTTAGCTTGTTAGGTTTACAGAATCAGAATTTTCAAGCTGGATGAGATACTAAAAATATACTGATATTTCTTCATTTTGCAGAGAAGGAAGCAAATCCTTCCATATATTAAAAGACTGATGAGAATACTAAGCCCCATAAACACCATGACTTCCCAAAGCAACACGGTTAACTAGAACAATATTCTTGATTTCCATATTTGGTGTTTGCTTTATTTTTTTTAATAATCACCCAAATGGGGGGCCCCTGGTTGGCTCAGTCGGTTCAGCATCCGACTTCAGCTCAGGTCATAACCTCACAGTCTGTGAGTTCGAGCCCCACGTGGGGCTCTGTGCTGACAGTTCAGAGCCTGGAGCCTGCTTCGAATTCTGTGTCTCCCCCTCTCTCTGCCCCTCCCCTGCTCATGCTCTGTCTCTCTCTGTCTCAAAAACAAATAAAAACATTTACAAAATTTAAAAAAAAATCACCCAAATGGACTGGATCTGTTTCTCACTTTTTTTACTTTAATCTTTTTTTTAATTGAAGCACAGTTGATACACAATGTTACATTAGTTCCAGGTGATCTGTTTCTCCTTTTATGGCATTTAAGCTAACCAAACCAAATGTATTTGTGTTTTTTTTTAAACCAAACAAACATGGGCATTACTAGTAACTGTATACAGCATCCTTCTGATCAAACACCTCTTAGAACCACATTTTGAGAATTAAATGAAATCTTACCTGAAGAGGCACCTTGACATCAAGGCCATAGAATAAAGGCAAGAGAGAAGAACAAGAATAGAAACAGAAACTGCAGAAGAAAAAGAAGAAGATTACATAAATCTGAATTTCTGTAGTGTCAACAAAACCTCAAGCTTTTCCACTTTGCTCAAGTCTGACCACTTGTCACATATATACCAAGGACCTTTTGTTTAAAAAAAAAAACAAAACATGTTTTACTTATCTATTGGCAAAATAATGTGAGGACTAACTGGTGTCAACCAACATCAACTGATACATTTTACAACTGAGGTGGTCTAATAGATCATGGATCTAAGCTCCTAATTCTTTAAGTGAGAAAAGCAAGCACTGAACGGTTCATCAACAGTCTAATTGCATGTAATTTCATGTCATAGTAAAGCCTTGAATTTAGACCTCCTGGATCCTACTTTATTATATATTATTGTCTGTTTTTTAATGTGTGACAGGGTAAATCAAAACTACAAAAATATGATCAGAGTATCCACTTCATCACTTAATGCTATCATTGTTTGGTTAATGTGAAGAAGGCATAGCAGAGAGAATATTAATATGTAAGGTAAACCTGTGATAAATTATCTGCAGTGGGCTACTCCTGAGGTAGAAATGCAGACGCTATCAGTAATTACATCAGGACAGCAGGTGTATCCTGGGTCTACCCTGGATGAGCCAGGATGTGTGGTATGAAAGGTGCTTGTACATCAGAGGACGCCTTAGATAATGAATGAATGCATGCTGCTGTTCAAACCTCCATGCTTCGCAGATATTCTCTTTCTTTGACTCATAGAACTTAAATGGAGTCTGAATTGTGTCTCTTCGCTTAGAACTTTCTCCAGAAAAGCAGATACTTGGGTGGACAGACATGCTTGCATAGCAGTGGTGCATAACCAACTGCATACTAATTGTAGAAGGTCACAGGTCAGATCAGTGGTTTTTAAATACCAATTTCCTTGGTGAGGTACTCCTACAGAGTCAGACTTTGACCTTGTTATCACATTTCAGCACCATTTTGTCAGACACGACTTCCTTGAATAAGGGTGGTGTATGGCATTCTAATGTTGAGCATGTTATCCTCATGTGTCTTTTAAGGCCACTGTTTACAGGGCTCTGGCTTCATCATAGCAAAATTGTAGGGACAAGTTATAAACATGGTGCTAAGAGCCATGTGTTGGTGACCGTTCTAGGAGTCTGGAAAGCAGAAACTCTGTCCTTTTTCTTTGTTTTTTTTTTTTCCCATTCTTCAAAGACGGAGAGTGGTAAAATGATGCCCGTAGTAGAAGATGGAGGGGAAAGGAGGCTTCCTCTACTCCTCTGAGGTCAGATATCAGCACCGCCTCTCGGGGCATGAGGAGAGGCCCATCACCTTGCTGGCAATGAGATTCTTTGTCCAGGCAGTGTGGTGGGCCGAACGTAGCACCTTGAGTCAGACACCCTGGCCTCTGGGTGTCTTGATATGGACTGGTTATATGGTCCTGGGAATGTTGTTTAATCTCTCTGACCTGTTGTTTTATTACCAGCAAAAAAGGGGATCCTGAGATCCGTTGTGTCTGTCTCACAGAGTAACTGCAGGAGAGTCAATGAAGCCGATGAAGCCTGCTTTGCATTCTGTGTCTCCCTCTTTCTCTGCCCCTCCCCTGCTCACGCTCTCTTTCTTTCTAACATAAATAAACATTAAAAAAAGAAAATGCCTAGGGTAGTGACATTAATAGATATTTTAAAAATCCACTCCCCCCCACCCTTTTTAGTCTGGTTTTCCTTACATGAATGGGGATGGAATCAAACTGAAGTTTGTGGTTTTAATTCTGACTTCCTCTTTGTCAGCCACAGAGCTGGTTAAGACTTCGCACAGAAAATTACTAGAACCAAGAGCTAGCCATTTGAAGCTGTGGAAAATGGAAGGCATCAGGCATGTGCGTTGACAACTGGAGAAGCTGGAAACAGTTCCCACCTTCTGTGGGTCTTCTTGCCAAACACTGGGAAGTCAGACTCAGTCCTTGGCTTACTGCACTTCACCTTTGCCTCATTCAGTCCCACAGAGCTAGGCAGCACACTTCTGAAATGAGGACCATTCAAATTTAAAATTTTGCAGAGGATGTGTACTTTATGTCTGGAAATTTTAAAAATTATACTTTTTAATCGAACACTCTCAGTGTTTCGTAATTTTCACATGAGTGGCCCTGTTTGTTCCTTGCAGAACCCACGAGAGGAGATGAGGGCAAGCTCTATCATCCCCATTTTATCGATAAGGCTTAGACACAAGTCTCGGTCACATACCCAAGGTCAAGTAAGTATGTGAAGACCCAGCCGATGTAAGAATCCAGGCTGCTGATGGTCTGGCTCCTGGCCCCGACCAGCTCCCTCTGATCTCCCATGTATGGGCAGCTACAGAAGCAATTTGGGAGGAAGAAAATTCTGACCGTTGTCTCAGAAGCAGCAGATGGTTTGCTATTTTCTTCTTGGGTGCCCACGGAAGATGCTGCAAAATAGCCATATTCTTTGGCATCACAGGAATTCAGACTGGAACTCTAGGCAAAGCCTCTTGCGATCCTTGCTGTGTTCCTCAGCACGATGCTCCCGGGCATCACGGCAAGGTCACTGTTGTTGTGTTAAGATTGTTGGCCTCACTGCAGCTTGTTCAGCACTCCTGTGTGAGCCCTCTGAGTCCATCCCCCCACCGTGTACATTCCCAAATGCAGTCTTTCAGGACTATTACACTCTCCCCTGAAAGTGTTGGCTGACTCTGAGGAGGCTTTCAGGCCACTGGGGGAAGTGACATGAGGGCTTCATCATCACATGTCAACCTAAGTTTCTGGACTTACTGTGGAGGGGACACTGCAGCACAAGGAAGAAAGGGCTTTTTATCAATAGTAACAGGAATGATTTTTTTTTTTTTTTCAAAAAGGGACCAAAAATATTTTGAAAAGAAAGAGCAAAGTAGAGGCATAAAACTCATGAGAAATTTCTGGAAAGGAAATGAAGATAAGAAAGGGGAAGCGAGGAAAGAAAACACCCATAGCAAAAAATAGGAATCAACACAAAAGGCAAACATGTCCAGGTAAGGTTGCTGAAGACAGAACCTTTTCTGGAATGCTGGTGACTGACTGGAGGTGAAGTTTATATTGACTGTAACAACACCTGCCTCAGCAAGATACACAGTAACAGAAGAAACACAATGCGGTGAATGAAACTCCTATTATTTTCTGGTCTAAAAGTTAAAGACTGAAATTCACCCTGAATTTAACACATACCTTTTCTTCTAAGTCCTTTATCTGTCTTTTCTGGATGTCTGTTTTATCTTCTAAGTCACGAATTCTCTGAACAAAGGAAAAAAGAGAAAGAGTTAGTGGGTGTTAACAAGAAGACTGTTCGCCAACCTAAAACACGAAACTTGCTATGAAAACATTAACATTAGTACTCACAGCTGGAAGCATCACATATACGTTTTCCCACACCCAGAAGACGGTTGGATTACCCATACTTGTCATGCAAAAGCATGGCATTGATTACGTATGTGTTTTTAAATTTGCTACCCCTGTCTAAGCACCTGTCTCTACAGACCTATCTCTGAGAGGGAGGTAATGTTCTCACCCCAGTGTCCTCGGGCTTGGCTGTGAGGCCTATTTGGCCAGTGGAACGTGAGTAGGAGACGCAGGAGTACCACCTGCTCATCGAGACAGCATTATGTCCTGGAACTAGCGAGCAAGAAACTAACTGTGTTGGAGCCATTGGGATTGGGATTTTTGGTTGTTGATTACCACTGTAAAAAATGGCTAGTGGTGATATACATACACAAATGCAAACAGTCCCCTTGTTTTTTGCTACCCTTCCTTTCCAACCATGTTTCATCTCTGCTTCAGGGTAGAATTTCCTCATAAAACAGGATTTGCCAATTCTCATAAAACAAAGTAGAGATAAGACTTGGGCAAAAATTCCAAAGAGACAACTGATTAAGTTAGGGGAAAACTAAACATAGCAAAAAGCATAAGGAATCCTAAGGACAAAATAATTCCAGAACTATCTTTGAACTCACCTGTCAACTGTGTAACAAAATTCCAGTGATTTAAAAAGTGCAGATTTGAAATCAACATTACATAATTATTTGCAAGTGAAAAATAATCTTCAAATTTTTAGGCAACTAAAGGCCTTTTATGTTCATGGCACATGGTTACACAGTGTAAGTTTGTTATTTAATGCCTCTCTTGGGAATAATCAGAAAATGAGAACAGGAGTCTGAGAAGAAAACAGTGGAAGCTAAATGTGGTAATAATATAGAAAAAGAGGTTTTTATAATGCAATATGTGAAGAAGAGGAAGCTAGAACAAATACTTGAACTTGAAAATCATATCTCCCTACTCTGAAACAGTGGTTCTCAACAGAGGATGACTCTGCCCCCAGGGTAGCTTTGGCAATGTCTGGATATCTCTTAAAGTTATTTAATTTAATCTGAGGTATATAATTCAGTGGTTTTAGAATATTCACAAAGTTATGCAACCATCATCACTATCTGACTATCTGGACATTTTTTAATCACATGTGGTCAATAATCACACCTAGGGTGGGGGTTGTAATTAGCATCTAATAGGCAGAGCCCAGGATGATACACAGGACAGCCCCCTACCATAGAGAATCATCGAACCAGGGGTGCCTGTGTGGTTCAGTTGGTTGAACGTCTCACTCTTGATTTCGGCTTAGGTCATGATCTTATGATTTGGGAGTTTGAGCCCCACATCAGGCTCTGTGTTGACAGTGTGGAGCCTGCTTGGGATTCTCTCTCTGCCCCTCTCCCGCTCACACACACATGTGCATGCTCTCTCTCACCCTCTCTTTCTCAAAATATATAAACAAACAAAAAAAGAATCATCTGACCAAATGTAGGGAATGAGAAAACTGAGGAATGTGCTCTAAAGGGAAGGGACTGAGGTTTGTGCAGGAGAGGATGAGATGTTTGGGTCAGAGAGACTATCAAGGCTGACCGTGAAATTATAGGACAATGAATGATGGGTAAGAGAACGGGCCTGGAAGCTAATGGTGCGTGTACACGGGAGTGACGTGTGTGCTTGTGTATATTTCCACAGTGCTGCTCAGGCGCCAAAGCTACACAATAAAAGAATAAATTTGTTAGACATTTCCACCTTGAGTGTACATGTAATTCCTTTATATGTACACTGAATGTGGAGGCAAGTGTTATCTCACCACAATCATGGACATGTGGGATTACTAGAGATTACTACAGTGTCTACTTGGCCACCAAGGGCATGTTTGTTGAGCAACTTCTTACAAAGGTGAGGACTATGCTGGATATAATGGAGAATACAGACACCAGTCCATTTTTGGTCCCAAAGAACCATTGGAATCAGATGGGGAGATGGAGTCTAAAACACAGGGAGAAACAAATTAAGTAGAAAAGGTAAACGATGGCAACGCCATTGTAACTTCATCACCAATCTCTAGTAAGTAGGACAGCGTTCAGCACAAGGAAGTTGCCTATGCTTGTTAACTACATGAGTTATTTATGCTACAGTCGTGTGCTGCATGCTCTATTTCTTTCCTTTCCTATTCACTTGCCACCCCATCCAAGGGGGAACCTTCTCAGGTCCAAAAGAGACCCCTTTTTATCTTACCTGTCCTGCTAATCAGTACACAAGTCACTGTTGTCCGCATCAGGACTGGGGTGAGAGCTTACTGCTAGTTCTGTTTCTAATTTAGTACATCCATCTACAGCAGCTGTGTGTACTCCTGACATGTGGAATAATCAGGGCAGGCCCTGAGTTTAAGGCGGAGAGGAACAAGCATAAGAATAAGGGAGAGGCAGCCAGGCTGCACTCAGAACAGAACCCAACTCCTTCAAGGCCCAGTGTGATTTAGCCTTTTCTTCCTGGTCCAACTTCACTTCACATCCACTTCACCTTGGCTCTACGTGCTCCATTTTTATGGCCTTCTCTCTGTTCCTTGACTATTCCAAATGTTCCCACAATAGAGACTTAGACTCTGTTGTCCCTATCTTCTGGGGCACTTTGCCAAGATCTTTGTGTGGCTGGTCCCTTGGGTTTTAGACATCTTCAAAGATGCCTGATCTGCCTAGCCAGTCTAAAGTGGAGAATCCTATTCCCAAACATACACACACATCGTATACTTTTCTTCATAGCATTTATTGACACTCTCTGAAATTGCCTTGGTCACTGCTAATTTGTGTTGTTGCTTTGACCCTTTTCATGGGTAGGACAGACGAGAGCAGTGACCTTTATGTCTCTGTCCACCATAATATCCCTGGCACAAGAAGGCTTTCAAATATGGTTTTGAAACAATGTGTAACAGGATATGAAGTACAGATTTTTTTCAGTAGTATGCAGTCCATTATTATCAGGGGACCATCCTAAAGGAGGTGGATCTTAAGCTGGGACTGGAAAAATGAGAACATTTAGATAAATGCAGCAGACACGAGGGGCATTTTATGGTGAGTGGTCATGCCAACAAAGGCTTAGAGGAGGGAGTCATGACCCAAGCGGTACCAGGAAGAGTTCTGCATGAGTAGAGAGGACAGTATACTCTGGAGATTGTCTCAGATCAGGTTTTCAGAGAAGGGGTAGCCAGCTAATGAAGGACCTGGAGAGAGCTGCATAGGCCTAGACCCAACTGCAAATTGAGATCATAGAGGCTTTGAGGAAGAATGTACCATGAGGAAAGGTGAAAGAATGTGTAGTGATATGCATGATGAACTACAGAGAGGGCAGGAAGTCCTCTCCACCACTCAATCCCCGTGGCATCCTGCATATGACTTTTTTATGCCACTTGTCAAGAGATACCAAACGTAATTTTTTTTCTTTGTGTTAACCTCCTTTGTCTCCATCAATAAGTCCTATGCTTCATAAAAGCAGAGTCCATGTGAGTTCTCTATGTCTGAAATGGTATACAAAGACTGGGAAATGCATTTAAATATGTGACTGAATAAATGCCTAGATGATGGAGTCAGGTTACATCAGAGGACATCTGGCAGCATCTGGGAGCTGTTGCAGGATTGAAAGGTGCTGCCTCTGCTTCAAGTTACAAGTGTGGACAAAACAGACCAGCTTCAGAAACATTTCAGGAGAAATACTAATTGGATGTAGTGCTATATTAGTGATTGGAGATAAAGGACAAAGAAGACTCCAGGGTTTCCAGCCTGAGTGCTTTGGGATATGGTAATTCTACTGACGAAAACAGGCAGATGGGGAGAGAAGGGGAAAGAATAAAAATGCACACTTAGATATGTTTCATATGAGTTCACTGTGAAACATTCAAACAGAAATGTCCAATAAATAGTTACTGATAGGCTCTAGGATTTAACTGGATCACATAGCTTATACATGACAAAACCTGGCCAATACCTTCTGGAATAATTCTCTTAAATCTACTGATTATAAAGGGAGACAAAGAGTAAGAAATAATTAGAAAAGGCATTTTCTAATGAACATTTGTTTGGGAGATAGAAAATTTCAATGGAAATCTCTGAGGCTTAGAAATGTAATGTACCTCTCACTGGATAGCTTAAAACAAAGCAAACAAAACATGTCTTTCAGGTTTGGCTTGGTTAGAGACTCAAAAAATGACAAGGTTTTAATCATAAATAAATTTAGATAACTCTTTGCCCATCTTAAAAATAAATACTTTTGGGGCACCTGGGTGGCTCAATCAGTTAAACGTCCGACTTTGGCTCAGGTCATGATCTCACAATTCACGAGTAGGAGCCCCGCATCAGGCTCTGTGCTGACAGCTCAGACAGAGCCTGGAGACTGCTTCAGATTCTGTGTCACCCTCTCTCTCTGCCTCTCTCTCTCTCCCAAAAATAAATAAACATTAAAATTTTTTTTTAAAAATAAACACTTCTGTGGTTCCATAGCACAACTGCTGATTTGTTGAAATTAACTAAATGCCATTGCAGTATAAAAAAATTACGCAGAGGGCACTTTTATTCCCGCAACTAATGAGGCCATGGGGTCTATCATTAAAGGGCTGAAAAACATTCCAGGATCAAAATCCAGAACTTTATGATGGAATCTGAAAGCGCACTGAAACAAACATGCATGTGTTCACCATCTCTGGGACAAAAGGCTTCACCGCTCTTAGCTCCCTGTTAACTCAGATAATCTGTTTGATTATAAAGATTCACACAACTCCTGGCTACACAGGAAGTGTGCTAAGTGTCATGTTCCCCATAAACCGTTCTTATGGGTGTCATAAAATAACCTGTTCCTTTTCCACCCACCTTGATCTCTAAAGACCACACAACTCTTACTTCTTGTATTGTCCATCTGGATTGTGTATCAGTTGCTTAACCCAGCTTCTAAGTACCAAATCCTACTGGCACTATCAACTTTGTAATTCTTTGGGAATCTGCTTTTTGACCAGGGCCTTAGTCCTCACCTGTCAAGCTAAGACATGAACTAAGAGATGGAATTAAGAATTTTGGCTATAAATGAATATTGAGTGTCTCCAGAGCCTTCCTGGTCTAGATGGGTCACATCAATCAGAGAGGACTCAAGTTGCGTAGGAGAGGGTAGCACAATGGTTATACGCACTGGCCTTGAGTTATGCACACCTGAGTAGATACTGGCTCTGGTGCTCACTATCTGTGTCACCTTGGGCAAATGACTTAAGTACTCATGTCTTCAGTATCATTATCTCCTCAATGGGATAATAAGAATACTTACCTCAGTGGGCTACTGTGAAGATTAAATGCAATGATGTAAGCAGAGCCCTTAGTTTAGTTCCTGACATAGCAAATGCCAGTAAGTAAGCGGCAGCTTCCAGGCTTTGTTGTTGTTGCTGTTTGTTCTGGGAATAAAGAAAAAGGCCCTTGTTCTCTTTTACCCTATTCAGATGATCTGATCAGGCTAGATTATGGACTGGGATGAGTAACAGGAGGAAGCAGTATTTCTGTCCTGGGGAGAGTCTTGCCCTGCATAAGGGAGCTAATCAGGCTCCAGGAGACCCAAAGGGTATCTCATGACAAAACAGCTCCCCGAATAGTAGCAGTAGGCAATGCTTCTGGAATGCCAATTTTCTCAAGACTGAATCATTACCAAACTGTCATCCTGTCTCTGAGTCTAGGCGGCCAACAAGAGTTCTGTATCTTACTCTCCGAAGATGGCGTACAGCTCCTGGGCTTCTCTCACCCACACTCCATACCACGCACTTAGTACTAAGTCCCATTTGCTTAGTACCAATCCTACAGAGATGCAGTGGCTCCGTCCTCACCTGATGGGCTTGCTGTAAGAGCTCCATTCGCTCCTGAAGAATCTGACAGTCATACTCTCTGCTCTTCCTCAGCATCTGCCGCCGTAACTTTTCTACCGCTGTTCTCAGCTCTTCTTGCTGTTTTTCACTTAATAATTCACCAAACTTGATAACGGTTTCTTGCTGCAGAGCATTGTACAAAGTAGCTTCTAGTTCCTGGATTCTCTGGCAAACAGAATTAGACAAGTCTAACTTTGGAACTTAGCATTTCTGGTGGTATGTGAATGGAGACACTTGCGTGTGGGGGAGAGGGGAGTTATGTATTACTGGAATCTTATGGGATCATAGCACTAAAATCAATCTCAAAGCTTATCCAGCCACACTACCGTTTTGATAATCCCCTTTGTAAGACTCCGTGAGTCATCGAGCTAACAATACCTGAACTTCTCTGATGATGGGGCATCTGTTCTTTTTCTTGGGATCCTGTCCATTTCACACACCTTTCATTTTTAGTAAGTCCTTACTTTGTTATAAAAATTGTATATTCTTCTATTCTCAAATGTAGCTGAGAACAGATTTGTGCTCTCTTCCATCTGACAGCCCTTCAGATATGTAGACATCTATCATGGTGGCTGTACGTTTAGAAATAAGCACTGAAAAGTGGTCTAAGTTGGAATACTAAGTTGGGGATCTATTTCGCACACAAAATGCCTCCTCTCTTCCACATGACACACATACGAACTTGAAGATGGCTTTACAGTCTCCCTATCTTAAAATACAAATTAGGAGACATGATCTGAAAATGGCCTGGAGTCTTTGGAATTGGTTTGTTTTTTAATATTCTGACATTTAAAGCTGCTTTAGCTATAAAATGCCTCCTTGAGTCTTCTCTGCTTTGGATGAAGAATCCTTATATCCTTATATTCCAGTTTTGTTTTGTTTTGTTTTTTAAACATGCTTCAGTTACAGTCACCAAAATCTACAATCTTACCTCCTGTGACTTTGACAGAGGTGAATGGTCATGCCTTGGTACAGAGTATTTTCCTAGCTCTTGTTTCCAAGTTCCTAGCTCTTGTACTCGACTGAACAGATCTCATCTTTTTAACATGACATGTGTCTGAATGAGTACTTGCTCATGGGACACATAAGCACCTGAACCTGATCATGTGTAGGTAAAGAAGGCAAGGATAAAAGGGTAGGAAGGGAGGGGAGAAAGTGCTTCCTTCTTTATTCTCTGATGACCAACTCTCATTTCTCTCCTTTCCCCATCGAGCAGTGCTCAGAATCTCTTACTCATTTTGGAGAAGAACACTAATTCATCTCTGTTACAAGCAGGGGCTAAGTGCTTCGTTCTTATCCCCAAAGTGACTCAGGCTGCTTCCAGGAAAGCATTATAAAAACCTCTACCAGCAACTCCTTGAAATGTTCCCCTTTTAAGTTTGGTCTTTTTCTCTTGAGTCATTACTGTGAATTAATGGTTGGGGGGGGGGCAGTATATGGAGAGAAGAAACGCAAACTGTTGTCCCGTATTAGGAATTATGTGTTATGAATCTGTCATGGGGAATGAATCAAATGGGGTCCTCAGTCCACACAGCCTTCTGTGGGGGAGAAAAGGCACAACCCATCTCCCGAACAGCCTCACTTACTGTGGCTGGATTACGGTAGAGAAGGCCACAGGGTCTGGAGTCAGAACTGAGCACTACGTGCTTGCTCTCTCGGGCAGAGTTCTTTCACTCTCCAAGCCTTCATTTCCTCATATGTAATACAGGAATGATCACATTACCTGCACCCCAGAGGGCTGTTGTGAGAAATATGTGAAGGAAAAATATACACAGCAGACATTAAATGCTCTACTCTTTTCTCACTACGTGAGGCTCCCAAACAGTTAGATTTAATAAAATTTCTCTTTCATCTACAGTACCATCCAACCTGTCTCTCATTAAAGTATTATGTAATAGACACTTAATTTTTTTATATGAAGCATAATTAAGTATGCATTACATATTATAAGAGCAATATAACGGGAAATAGGTAGGGATGTATTTATTCTACAACCAGAACTGGAAACCACTGAATAAATGAGCTTGCATGTTGTGGTCTATTCAAGTACATGGCGGGACAAGTGAACCATGATGCTTCACTCCACAGCACAGGACTGTGAACTCTGGGTGTCCTGAGTGCTTGCTGTACCTACCATATATGCTTGGTCGAGAGCTTGTTTTCTGTAATCTAGTTCTTCTTCCAAATAGCCTTTTATTTTGCAGAATTGTTCCTATAAAAAGGATGAAGAGAAAAGACAAAGCGATATGAGCTTACATGATAAAAGATGAAGAGAATGATAAAGAGAAAAGAACTTAGTTTACTAGAAAGCGGTATATAAATGGTATTGATGAATGTTTCCTCTAACTCCCCAACAAGACCAGTCACTAGCATTTATAGGGTCATAGATTCTGTTAGGAAAATAGTTCAACTTTCATAGTCTCACACAGAGAATGTGAAAATCAATGGAAAGAAGTATACAAGATATCATGAACAATCCACCACATGGAATGCTTTCAAGGATTTTTATGCCAGTCCAAGAGCGCATGGTTAAGGACACAGTTACTAATAACTATATCTGTGCAAATATATTGTGAGAGTCTATTTTTGTAAGAATGTTTTGAAATGTAATATGCACAGTTGCATAATAAAAAATGATTCAAAATTATCTCGCACAATTAGCAAACAAAAGATGGATAATGATGTGGGTGGATGGCAGCTATTCCACCCACAATGTCACTTCATGAATGGGCTTCTGCTTCTGCCACAAAACCAGTACGAGCTGGGACCGAAATCTGAAGTTCCCTTGCTTGTCCCCAGTGTCTGCATGCCTGGTCTCACATCGCAAGCATCTTTCCAACAGCATTTAAAAACATAACTTTGTGGGGCACTTGGGTGGCTCAGTCGGTTCAGGGTCCAACTTCGGGATCAAGGTTCATGAGCTCAAGCCCTGCATCAGGCTCTGTGCTGATAGCCTGGAGCCCGTTTTGGCTTCTGTGTCTCCCTTTCTCTCTCTGCCCCTTCCCTACCTGCGCTCTATACTCTCTCAAAAATAAATAAACATTAAAAGTATATATATATCTCATGGGGCACCTGGGTGGCTCAGTCGGTTGAGCATCCAACTTCTGCTCAGATCAAGACCTCGTTTGTGAGTTCGACCCCTGCATCAGGCTTACTGCTGTCAGCCTGTCAGCATGGAGCCCGTTTTGGATCCTCTGTCTCCTCTCTCTGCCCCCTTCCCACTGATGCTGTCTCTCTATTTTTTCTGTATTTGACTCCTCCGTTGGTTTCATAGCTAAAACTTTTAACTGTACTGTCCATTTTATATCTCTCAAGGCTACCAATACTGTAGTACAAGATTAATGAAAAATAAGAAAAACATTTAATATTGGTGTTTTGTCATTCATTTTGCTCCATATTTCAATGAAATCATAAAATCATCTGACAGAGCAAACTTCATCACTTTGAAAGCTCTGCATACTTTTTACCTCCTTTGAATGTCATAGCAGCTCCATACAATACTCCAGGCTGATATTTTACCCCCACTTTACAAGTAGTGACAGTGAGGCTTTTTTTTTTTTTAAGTTTATTTATTTTGAGAGAGACAGAGACAGTATGAGTGGGGGGAAGGACGGAGAAAGGGGGAGAATCCCAAGTAGGTTCAGCTGACCGTGTGGTCAGCACAGAGCCCAATGTGGGGCTCAAATTCACAAAATCGTGAGATCATGACCCAAGCCGAAATCAAGAGTCAGACGCTTAACCAACCGAGCCACCCAGGCACCCTGCAAGTTATTCTTGTTATAGGATTCCCTAACCTGATAGGAATCACTACCTGTTTTTCAGTAGTAATAATAATGACAGTACAGTTATAAAATCCTATGTATTCCTGTAAGTTATAATGAACAGTTCCTGTGCTTAGGGATTTAAAGAAATATTTAATTACGGTAAAACACACAAAATTACTCTTAACCATTTTTAAGTGTACAATTCAGTAGGGTTAAGTATATTTACACAGTTAAGCAGCCAATCTCCAGAGTGCTTTTCATTTTGCAAAACTGAAACCGTATCCATTAAATGACAACTCATTTTCTCTTCGTCTTCACTCCTAACGGCCACTGTTCCTACTTTCTATTAGTCTGACTACTCTAGATACTTACGTAAGTGGAATCATACATTATTTGTCTTTTTGCGATTGGCTTATCTCACTTTGCATAATATCCTCAAGGTTCATCCACGTTATATCATATATTAGAATTTCCTTCCTTTCTAAAAGTTTTTTTTAATGTTTATTTTTGAGAGAGAGAGAGTAGAGAGAGAGAGAGAGAGAGTGAGTGAGTGAGAGACAGCACAAGCAGGGGAGGGGCAGAGAGAGAGGGAGACACAGAAGCTGAAGCAGCTCCAGGCTCTGAACTGTCAGCACAGACTCTGACACAGGGCTCAAACCCTCAGACCGCGAGATCATGACCTGAGCTGAAGTCGGATGCTCAACCGACTGAGCCACCCAGGTGCCCCAAATTTCCTTCCTTTCTAAAGCTTTAATAATATTCATTGTATGTACAGACCACATTTTGCTATCCATTCATACAGTGATAGACTCTTAGGTTGCTTCCACATTTAAGCTACGGTGAATAATGCTGCTGTGAGCATGGGTGTACAAACATTTCTTTGAAAACCTACCTTCAATTATCTTGGGCATATTCCCAAAAGTGGTATTGCTGGATTATACGATAATTCTATTTTGAATATTTTGAGCAACCACACCATACTATTTTCATTAGCAGCGACACATCATTTTATGTTCCTAACAACAACGCAAAGGTTCCAATTTCTCCATGTTCCCACCAACACTTGTTATTTTCTGTTTTGTTTTGTTTTGTTTTTGATAGTGGTCATCTTAATGGGCACAAAGTGGCTTGGAGATTTTTAAAATCAGTTATACTCATCATTTCTGTAATTTTTACTCTGACTATACATGGTGGAAAAATTATTTAGCCTAAGAAAGAAATCACCTAGTTGAATTTTATTCAGCATTAGTTTTAGAAATATTGTAAAAATACAACATATCTTTGAAGAATATAACTTGAAATTGTGGGATACTTTCAAGAATTTCATTCCCCAGTCTGTACACCAAATAATGCGAAGCTGCAAACTTTCATTGGTGCCAGTGAAACTGGTAGAAAACAGTTGTTTTCCATTTGCCTTGACTATTTTTCTTCATTTAAAAAAAAATTTTTTTTGAGAGAGAGGGTGCAAGTGATTGAGGGGCAGAGAGAGAGAGAATCCCATGAGGGGCCGAGAGAGAAAGAACTGGGGCTCACCTGAGGTGGGGCTCATGCTCACGTGAAGCAGGACACGAGCTCACCCTAAATGGGGCGTGTGCTCACCTGATTCAGGGTTCCAACTTACAAAGTGTGAGATCATGACCTGAACTAAAGTCCGGTGCTTAAGCACTGAGCCACCCAGGTGCCCTATTTTTTGTCATTTTTATGATGCCTCATCTTTGGACTCACCATGTCACTTTCCAATTCCATCATTTTCTGGTGCAGGGCAGCCTCCGCTCCTTCGATTTGCTGGATCCACTAAGGAGTAAACAAGGAGTAAACAAAAATGTCTGACATCACTGCTTGACATGGTGTATATGGCGCAGTCTACTAAGTTGCTTTGTGTCTTCCTCTTTTTTCTCAGAGAACTGAAGTGGAAACTCGGTGCGTTTTATCTCTTAGTTCAGGAAATAGAGTTATTCATTCATTCATTCATTCACTCACTCAACAAACGCATTCACTGATGTCAACCATGTGTCAGGCACTGCACTAGGTACAAGGGCTTCTATGGTGAGTAAGACCAACATGTTTTTTGTGCTCATTAGAAAACATCATAGGAGGCTTTCTTGGAAAAGACAACTGCGCTAGAGTCTGACGATTTTGAGTCAAAGATGATTAGGCAAAAATGATGGGCAAGTTCCAAGCAGAAGAGATATTCAATTCTTCGTGGTTGGGGGAAACATAATGAAAGTAAGAAGGCCAGGTGAGACTGGAGAAATGGCCATTTTTCAGTGTATGAAACGGACTACAGCTAAGTGTTGAAGAATCATTTTTGTTAAGTGGAGGCATTTTAAATCACATTAAAAAACTTACCTTTCCTAACACTTAGAATATATCATCCTGTTATATGGCACTGACGTTAACATTGATCAACACCCTGAGTAAAATCAGATTTTGAATAAGATTTTGAATAATAAGATTGAATAATAAGATTTTGAGTAATAAGCTTACCACATATATTGCTTAATAGAACATATTATAACATGTCTCTCCCAAGTTAAACATCGGCTTATCCTGTAGGGAGGCAACTGGGCGTAATAATTGTGGGGGTTCTACAGGCAGACTACCCTGGGTCTAATCCCAATCCAGGATTTTCATGGCTGTGTGGCCTTGAAAGGTTATCTGATTTCTCTAAGCTTTAACTTTCTTTTCTGTGAAATAGGGTTAATAATTTGAAGAATTACAGGATGTAATTAATGGAAGACACTATGCACAATGTACTGCATGTACTGGGTACACAATAATTCTAGTTCTTGGTTAACATTCATCCATTCATTTTAGAGAGAGAGATGAAAGCATGTGAGCAGGGGAGAAGGGCAGAAGGAGAAAGAGAATCTTTTTTTTTAATATAAAATTTTTTTTAACATTTATTCATTTTTGAGAGATAGAGACCGAGCATTGAGCAGGGGATGGGCAGAGAGAGAGGGGGGGGGGGGGGGGGGGAGAGGAGACACACGAAGAGAACCACAACAGGCTCCAACCAGACTTTCAGCACAGAGCCGACATGGGAGACAGACGTGAACGGTGAGATCGTGACCTGAGCCGAAGTCGGACGCTCAACCGACTGAGCCACCCAGATGCCCCAAGGAGAAAGAGAATCTTAAGCAGTCTGTATCCTCAGTGCAGAGCCCGATTCGTGGCTTGATCCCACCACCTTGGGATCATGACCTGAGCTGATATTGAGTCATATGCTCAAATGACTGAGCCACCCAGGCACCCCAACATTTATTTTTATACATCTACACTGTTAGGAATTTGCCTCCATACTAGTGATTTCATTTCAGTTTATCTGTGATAAATTATGTGGTGCACTGAGCATTTTTTTAAAATATTTATTTTTGAGAAAGAGAAACAGTATGAGCAGGGGAGGGACAGAGAGAGAGGGAGACACAGAATCCAAAGCAGGCTCCAGGAAAGAGCCTGATGCATGGCTTGAACTCACAAACCATGAGATCATGACCTGAGCCAAAGTCGGATGCTTAACCGACTGAGCCACCCAGGTGCCCCGTGCATTTTTTCTACGTACTAAAGCCTGACATTCACAAGGCGATACCATGTCCAACAGCCTCTTAGCTATAAGAAATGTGGGGAAAGAATAAATGCACAGGGAGACTGAGGACCTACTCTCTCAGTTCTTGTACATACACGTGGCCTCCCCTTGAAACAGATTTCCATCCGAAATCATGGGTAGTCTCTGCAAGTGCAGACCATCAAGCTTTATTAAAATGCTGCCTTTTACTTACTGCCCATTTATCATTGAGAAACTGTATTTTTAAGTATAGTAAATTAAAGCAGTTCAGTCATGGGCTTCAGATACAGACTTGTGTGTTGACTTGTAGCCCTTCTGACTTGTGAAGCTTGACACAAGTTACTGAATAGCCCACACCTCAGTTTCCTCATGTGTAGAATGAAAACAGTGGATAAATTTAGGATGGTTGGGAGAACAATGACATTTGTGCAGTACCTGGCCCATAACATGTTCTCACTTAAGGTTACTGCTCTTACTCTTATTAACACAAAGTCACAATAGGATTTCTTGTTGGAAATTTGTCTATGTTCAATCTCTGGTTATCAATTATACTCCTAGACAGAATGCTATCCAAGGTTGTGGTATTCAAAAGTTCAAGGCTGACATTTAGAATTACTTGGAGATAAACATGTTCATCTGTAAATCCCAAAGGTAGGAGGCAACACTTGTGAACTAACTTGTGAACTGCACAGACTATGAGCACTCTAAGGACAGGTTTGCATCTTGTGCATTTGGTTCTTCACTTATCCCTTCAGTGCTAAGCACACTGTCATCACTCTAAATGTTCAACTGAACCCCTCATACCGGTCTTGCAAAGGAGGTAAGTGGAGGCGTGAACTAATTCGCTGAAGGGCTAATAGATCAGCTCCTACAGGCTCTGTAAAGGGCACTTCCTGCTTTCAATAGAATGCTTGAGGGGAATTGTGGTGCAGTGGAGAAGAAGATCATGGACTCGGGGAACACACTGCTTGAGTGTGAATCCTGCCCCATCATTTTCTAGCTGTGTGACTAGGGCAGTTACCTGCCTTCTCTGTGCTTCAGATTCCTCATCTATAACAGTAGTATCAAGAGAAGTGCCAGGTACAAACAAAGCACTATGCAAGTGTTAATTATGGTTAAGTTCAAGTTGCATCGCATGCACACAGGGCAGGGAATGGAAGAAAATTTCCATCAATCTAAGTAAATGTGAGGCACACAGACCCACTTTTCCTTTACTTTTTCCTATTCCTACTTTCTTTTTTTTAATGTTTATTTATTTTTGAGAGAGAAAGAGATCGCGCGCGCGCACGCGTGCACATGAGTGGGGGAGGGGCAGAGAGAGGGAGACACAGAATCCGAAGCAGGCTCCAGGGTCTGAGCTGTCAGCACAGAGCCCGACGTGGAGCTCAAACTTATGGACCTCGAGATCCTGACCTGAGCCGAAGTTGGATGCTTAACCAACTGAGCCACCCAGGTGCCCCAGCCTATTCCTATTTTCTTTTCCATTTCCCTAATCTGTCCTTCACATCCTAGTCCTTGCCTTTTACAGAAATTGGCCCAAGTTTTCTTGATATCCCTAAATTAAGGTGACTTTTCTTTCAATAAAGAATTGTAGCCCTCATGAGTCCAATAGAATGCGACACTGGCTATTGCTGCCAAATAAATGTAGCAGATATGGGAGTACAAACTGTATTTTCTTCATCAGCATGGCATTGTAACACTGTCCTGTGGACATTCACAAAGTCACTTATTCACTCCCTCAGTAAATACTTGCTGATCACCTGTTAGATGTGCTGGACTGTTGTGAAGAACTAGGGAAACAAAGTGGAATAAACAGATACCATAGTTGCCCTCATGGAGTTTAACGTCTAGTGGTAGGTAGTTGTGGGGCATATAACAACAACAAAAAACAAGCAGCCACATTACAGTTGTTAAAAGCCATAGTAGCAGATGCACAGGTCACTGTGGAAATACAGAGAAAAAAATACCTAACAGGGCTTGGGTGAAGAAGAAGGCTACCCATGTATAGGGATGTCTAATGGTTAAGACTGAGCCACACAAAGGGAGAAAAGGAAGAAGAAAGTAACTTCTAGGCAAAGAGAACAGCCTAAGGACCAAGGGATGGAAATACTGATAGAGATGGAGAAAGAGAGAGAGAAACAGAGACAGAGAAGACTGGGACACCAAAAGGATTTGTATATGGCTGGCCCTCAGATAGGGACCAAAGAAACAAGTGGGATCCTGGAGAAGCAGGCAAGAGCCAGACCTAGGGACCCTCTTGGCAAGTTCTAGATTCTGGACCTTAGGTTTGGGACAATGCAAGGTTATTAATGTGTTGTGGACAGGGAAAGTGATGAGTCTGTAATTAAATTGCAAGGGAACTAAGTTTTTTAAAAAGCAAATACCAGGTACTATTTCACATGTATATAATTCCTTTTGTTATCTGATACCTGGTCCATACTAAAATCTCCCCAGGTGTCAGCAAAATGTCTTCCCCCACCCCCCACTTGGTTTCCCTGAATCAGTATCCAAAAAAGGGATTATTTTAATAATTTTTAAGTAATCTTTTATTTTATAGCAGCCCTTCCCTCTTCAAGTATGTGCTGATTCTCAAGGCACGCTGAACACAGCCACTTCTCAGGCTTCTCCGATTGGCTCTTTCCTCCTCTCTTCCTGCCATTTACCAGGTTAAGACACAAGGGGGCCAGAGCACACACTCAGTGTTGCTCAGCTGACAGTACCCAGGTTGGACTTTCTGAATTGTATAGCCATGAACCACCGCCAGGTTACAGAATCATCTGGGAACAACTGCTATATGCACACCCAGGGAAAAGCCCATAAAAAGAGCCAGGCTCTCTAGTTTACCATCTCTCAACAAAAACCTCTATTGGTTTCCCAGCTTGGGAGGGACTGTGTGGATAATATAATCCAGAAAGTTTTCCATTTTGTAAGAAATACATTTTTTTAAGAGACTACAAAGCAAGAATTATCCACCCACCCCAAATCACACTTTTCTTGAGTGTGTTCCCATTCTATTGGGGTTGCATCACCCTGAAAAAAAAAGACATTTATTAGGTATTCAATAACACAAAGTCATGTGCAAAGAGAATGTCCTTCAACCCTACCCTAGTCTTTAGGGGTTAAGCCAGACACTGAGATGATCTGAATGTTAGTATGATATATTACCTTTTCTGCCAGGGACAGCACAGTGCTGGCCTGAATTATGGCCACTTGTTCTTCATTTCTTAAGTTCTGTCAAAAAGAAAAAGAGAAAGAGAGAGAGAGAGAGAGGAAAGAAAATAAGCTGAAGACACAATATTTGCACTATCAGAAAATACTGCCTAACTGCCTGTTATAGATACTCTTGCCTATGCATGCATGAAGGTTAACAACTGTTCTATTTCACTTGGTAACAATTCTTAAAAAAATGTTCATTCAAAATGTGTAAAAAGTACATTAAATGTGATTTTTTATATGTCTAAAATGGACTTGATTTTGTTTCACAGTCGTTTGATGTGATTTAATTGATTCTGTTCTCTCCTTTGATAATTTTTCAAGGCAAAAAAAAAAAAAAATGGTGTGACTCTTTCAACCTGCATATGCATCATTCATCTAGTATCTCAATGAATGGTCCTCCCACTGAATTAATATGCCTTGACCCTGCCTGGAAGGTGTTTTTTAGAAAGAAAAGAGATTATAGTTTCCTGGTCCATTTTTGTGGGGCTGCCACCAACCCTAGTATTTAGCAACATTTGCAACTGCATGACTGATTAATTTCACGCTGGATGGCTCTAAGCAACAGCGAGAAGGTAATTAGCTTTAATCACTGCAGATGTGGCCGGCATTCAAACCTGAAACCAGCCAGCGAAGAAAAGGACTTTACCAGTTTCCATTTCTGCCACTACCTTCCAGAGATCCTTAGAACCCCTCAACTAACTTGTTTGATAAACCATGACTGGTTCTCTTCCATGAGCCACATCCTTAAGAGAACATGGTATCTCACTTGCTATTATTTTATATGACTGGCAAATATTTCTTGCTTCTCATTGGGCAAATTCGTATCTTTACTGCCCTTAATCAATTCATTACTTACCCCATTATCACCCAAGATATCAAGCTGCTTTATGAGATCAGGGATGTTCACATCCTGCAATATCAAGGAGATACATTCAAGTTAAAGACACAAATGCGGTTTAGCATTCTATCAGTGCCCGACCCTTAAGTCTGAGAAGACATTTTAAGACCTGTACTTCCTTGGGTTGTTTTCAATCAGGTACATGTGGCTTTATGTTTCCACTCTGCTTCTTGCAAGTTGCGTGAACCTGGGAAAACTACTTAATGGCTCATTCTCAAATTCACCAGCTGCAAAATATCTCCTGATCTTGAGGATAGAGATTCTATATCAAAGAGTTTAGTTTATAATAAGGACTTGGAATTCTTTCATTAATTGTTTTTCCTGATAATTGCCATTTTCTTTTCAATTGCAATAAATTTTAGGTATAAAGAAAACTAACAGGTAATAAATATAATCAACCAATTTCATTTTAATTAACGGAATTCTAACCTGGTTGAGATTTTGACTGCCACATAGAAAAAAATACAGCACATTCCATCTTTTAGCATTAATTTCATGCTGTGAAAAACAGCTCATTTTAACTATATTTCTTGAGACAGTTTGAAGTAGCCAAACTCCATTTGAAAAAATTTCCCTGAATATAAATTACATCCACTGGATTAGCTTGTTTGTGATTTATCTAATAAAAAGCATCTAAGGAAAAGACAAAGTACTTTTCATTTAATTAGAGCTGAATAAAAAACAAAACAAAACAAAACAAAAACATGGCTCTGGTTTACAAATTTTTGTGCAGCCCAGGAAGGCCAGAAATTTAAACACCATGAAAGAGGTTCAGGATGGAAAACAAGGAAACCCAATTTTACTGCCTAATTTTCCTCCCACTTTTTACTGCGTTGGTACCACTTTCTCCTCTTACTCACATTCAGATATCCTTTCCTTCCACCAGGAAGGGGGAGGTCTAGCTCAATCTCATAGGTAGAGAGAAAGCAATGAAAGCAGGTATTATCTGGCAGCTTGGGGTGGGAGCAGGAAGGGCCATGCACAAGGTCAAGGAGAGACCAGGAAGAGCGGGAGGCATCCCAGCTTTCCCTCTGGGATAGATATTCACCATGTGATTTCATTACATTGAAGGGATAATATATTTTCCAGGAGATGGAGCCACCTCCATTCAACCTTAATGTTTAAAATGCATTCCGATATCCCTAAAGATAAAATTACATTTTATCTAAATGAACAATGTTACAAATCATAAATCCTTCCAAAAGACAAATCTTTCCTAGATGAAACATATCAAAAGAGAGGGTGGACCAGATGATTTCAAGGTCCCTTCCAGCACCAAATTCCAAGATTATGAATCCCACAGCACTTAGAACAGCACAACAAAGGGACTCGACAAACAGTTTTTTATCTGGTATCCTTGAAATGTGTTTCTTGAAGTATGGAATTTATTTAGTATCTCCCCTAGATAATGAAGGTTAATTATCTTAATATCTGAATTTGCATCATTCCTTATGCTGTTGTGTTCTAAATAATCATGGTTTATTGTGTTCTCTATTAACCATTCATACATCTGTCACACATCTTTTTAATAAATAAAAAAAATTATTTTAAATAAGCTCCACATGCAATGTGGGGCCCAGACTCATGACTCCAAAGATCAAGGGTAGCACACTCTACTGACTGAGTCAGCCAGGCACCCCTAGGTGCAGCTATTTTCAATATCTACATAGTTTGTATCAAAATGACATCCAGTGACTGAAAAACAAGTCATGAACAACCTCCCCTTTTCCAGTTCCCAGTTTTTCCACTTTCTACAAACATAAAAAATTGAGTGTCTGCCTACCTTGACACCTTCTTTCATACAGTAGATCTGTAGAGCACTCACACCATCTGAGAATGGGTGAATTTGTAGATTAAATGGAGGGGATCGTCTCTCTCTTTCCTTGAAATACAGTGAAAAGTATATGGGAATTAAAAAACAAAAAGCAACAACTGATCAAATGCTAAACACAGTTTAGCACAGTTGTCTGTGTTCTCTCTTTATACTGTTTCAGTTTATCAATGTCATTGTGCAAAAAAAAAATTGAACTCAAGATGTTCATGCTTAAATTTAATGGAAAAGAAGAGATAAATCAACTAAGAAGTATGGTAGAAGAATTTATAGTGTCATTCAGTCTTGCGAGTTTTTTGATCAGAGAAATGTAGGAAGTGAAGTTCCAATTTAAACTACATGAATATTTAGAGCTTTCAGGTGTCACAGAGAATGGTCTTTTGACCATGAAGTTTTATGGCAGCTAACAGCCTTTTGCATATTCAATCTACTCAAGCTTTATGATTAAGATATGTGGGCTACCAAAGATGACTTAACACTTCTTCACGGAGGAGCACCAACCACTAACTCTATCCAAATCTAATTTGAAAAAAATCTCAAAAAGAAGCTGCTGGCAAAATAACAGAGCTATCAAATGGGAAATTTCTTACCTTTTACATATCAACATACATTCAACCAGACCCTATGCCAGATTCTTTTTTAAAAAAAATATATATTTAAGTAATCTCTATCCCCAGTGTGGGGCTAGAGCTCATGACCTCGAGATCAAGAGTCACACGTTCTTCTGATGGAGCCACCCAGACACCCAAAAGAAGTCAGGTTTTGTGTGTGTGTGTGTGTGTTTCAGATTATTTTTATAAGTAATGTCTATACCCAACATAGGGCTTGAACTCATGCCCTGACATCAAGAGTCATGTGATCTACTGACTGAACCAGACAGGCACCCCACTAGGCCAGATTCTGTGTGATAAAATAAAACTCTGATTTTATTGATATGTTTTACTTAAAAAAAAAATAAAAAAGACAGAAATTTGGCCAGGTTAGCCAAGGTATTTCCTTAAACAAGTTACCTTGCTTTTTGGCCTTTTTCAGAAGTACGTTATAGATTTAAAAGTTTACTCACAAATTCAAGTGTCTAAAACAAAATATTTTTGTATATACCAGTCTGAAATACTGTTCTTGAGGTAACATTTTTATGAGTCAGAATTCAATGAAGGATGGAAATGATTATTGAGAAGCAATGAAATATTGATGAAGTTTGATATCTATTATTTAAATTATTTAAAAATTATTCATTAGTCTTGTTCTTAAAGGCAATAGTGTTGAAAAGTACAGTCTCTGAGCAGACAATTCTGACTTGCGTCAGTGTTTCACCACTTATAGTCACAGGTCTTGGGCAAGTTGTTTAACCTCGGTTGCCTCATCTATAAAATCCTGATTATGGTCGTTGAGGTCCAAGGAGAGTATGCATCAGAAATGCTTAATTCAGCACCTCCCACACAGAATGTGTTCAGTGCATGTTAACTGTTATGAGTATTTCTATTATCATTATTATCATCATTGCCTTACTTCTAGCTCTAGGTTTCGAAACTCCAGCAGCTCATTCTGGTCTCGGGCATCCTGTAGTTCTTGTTGCAACCGGTGATTTTCTGCCTCCTGTTTTTCTATCTAATAAAGTAAATCCTCAAGTTAGGTGAACATTGCAAACACCGTCTACAGCTTAGCAAAGCAAGCATGGAGAGCACTCGTTTATGTGGTGAATAAATCATCTAGACCATGAAAAAAAAAATCCCAATGAGATGTGAGCAAAAGAAGTCTTACACTTTCCTCCTAGTTATCCTTTGGTTGAGTTTTTTGTGTCATGGAGGAAAATGAGACAAGATGACACACATTCACTGACAACGTCTGGGGACCCTGTGAGTAGTGAATCTGCGAGTACTCATTAGGCTCTTGCTGTGGGTCAGGGACAGTGTCCTGAGACTAAATTTAATGGGGTAAATCATGGACACTGACATCTCTTGTTTCTGGAGTTACAAATGGTTGGAGAAATTTTACCTAAATAGCTCTGATCATATACAAAACTTTGAGGGGTTCCAGTTATCCATAAAATAAAGCCAAACTTGTCAATGTGGAATTCAAACACCTAGCTTTCTAGGCTTAAATATTCTGTCATCTCTACACACACACACACACACACACACACACACACACACACACACACACACTCTCACGTGTGATCACACATAAGAATCTAGAAATTCCTATCTACCCTATGGACTGATTATGCCAGGAGCTAGATCTTTGCTCATCTCTCTGCCTAAAAGAGGCTCCCCCCATTTCCTTTCCTATGTGAGGAAATCCTATTCTTCCTTGAACACGGAACTCTAATATCCCCTACCAGAAGAGGCTTCTTTTGTTTACCCATTTAGAAGTTACACCTTTTCCCTCTGTTTTCCTATATGACTTCTATAACCTGATGAAGCATAGAATTAAGTTAGTTGTGTAAAATACGCCTCACCCTGTAAGACAGGCCCATATCTACAAGGGCTCAGAAAATTTTCATGATCTGTAATAGGTTCGGGGCTGCCTTTGATTTTTAAGCTGTGTGGGTGGACCCTTAGGCACAGTAACTATTTAAAATCTTGAACTTAGAAACAAAAATCCAGGGGCTTTTTATCATAGGATGAATCTTACTTCCCCAAGTATACACACTTGAAGTAGGATGTTTAGCTTTATTATCATTTTTGGTTTTCTTTTACTCTTAGAAGCTTGAGCCCCTCAAATTCTCCTTGTAGCCCAAGAAATCAAGACCGAATGGAATCAGACAGAAGACATAATGAGAATTATTTTTTAGGTGATAAAGAAGTGTAATAACACTTACCACTGGGCATCTCTGAGACTACTAGAAGTTGACTTAGATCACAAAAAGAGATTCTACTACCTAGAATCTTGAATTTAGATCAGAGATGGGATATTTGAGCAGATGTTTGATTCTGGTGGATAGCACTAGCAATTAGGTCAGTGGATCTTGGGTTGCAATTCAGAGACCAGGGCCGATGTGTGATGAAGCTTCTTTACAGGGACCCCTCACCTCTCTGAGAGTACCAGTTCTCGATCCTGGAATACCCACCCGCCTTCTATCCATCTGCTCTGTTTCTCCTCATTCAGAAAGTGAGGTAGGGTAAGGACTGCTAGATCAGAGGGGAGGGAGGACAAGCATCTTCTTTCCCTTTGCATGCTTACAAGAGTGTTGTGGTTAATTTTCAACTTGCCACGGCTAGCGAATATTGGCAGAAAAAATCCCAAAGTAATTTCTACATAACCTTTGGATGAACCAACAGAATTATTTCCCTTATTCAAATGGGCTTTCAAATTCTGGTTTTTTTTTTTTTTCAAG